TTATATATAAATAAATAATAATAATAATTATTATTATTATTATTATTATTTTGTTTTTTGCAGTGGATTTTTTTTTAATATTGATATTAATATTCTTTTTAAAAGACATTTTTTAATATAATATATTTTTTAAAAGAATTTAATACACTACAGTTCGTTGGTGTCATTTGTCAATCCTTTCTGTTACTACACCCTGTATATATAATAATATTAAACGCTAGACAGTTTGTGGTTTTTCACGGTGCACTTATTTTGCACGGCTGTCAGCAGTTCCGGCCGTATAGATGTATGCTATCGATATAGATAATAAGATTGCCAATAGTTGGGTATGACAATATATTTGAAAACACGATATTACGGCCGTGGGTTACGAAAGGACACAGCGTGGATTTTGTTGTGGCCAGGATTATTCCTGCAACAATATGTTCGAGACTATTATATGTAGGTAGGAGTTCTATTGTTATTAAACAGTAAGTATATTTAATAAATGTCATTATCTCGTATCGTTATAAAACGCAACAGTTCATCAGTTAAAAAATTTTTTTATCTAGTTTTATAAATACTAGAAATTGTATTATATTTAATGAATTTATCGTCGTTTTTCCTCACAAAAAATATAGAAGTTCCGCGCAACTAGCTGCAGGTATATTTTTTAGTCAATTATGTGTTTTGTGAGTAATAAGTTTATTATTACCATAATATACTTCAATTCAAACAAAATATAAAATTTAAAACAGGGATACTATATATAGTAAAAAAAAGAAGATGATTGCCATAAATCTATTTTTCAGTAAAATTACACATATTTATTTCATAATTGATAAAATATTTAGTGATTACTAATCATCAAACGATTTTATGACAAAAAAAAAATTCGAAATAATCACTATAAACTTAATTTATAAACATTTACAATATTATGAAATACATTATCAATAAGAAACCATAGTTAATAATACATTTAATATTTATATTTATATAATTTTAACAGCCTTTTCATTACGCAATCATTAATTTAATTGATTTAAAAATCACTTTAAATAATGGAAATTATATTAAAATGATCTGATATCATAATTTAAAATTCAACAAAGTATAATATTAATTTTAATCGTTGAAATTAGTTTATTTTTTATACATACTTGTAAACAATATAATTTAACATATTAGCTAAAAAATATTTCAATTGCTCAAATTTTGAACAATTGTTCAAACCTCAAAACATTATCGACAAAATTATAATTTCATAATTTTAAAAATTGGTAATGACTAACCTATTGATCAAATTTAAAAATAACCATAAGATATAAAAACTAAATAGGTCCAATTTGATGACGTAGGTAAAAATCAAAACTACGTGTTTTTTATAATTAATTTAATTGTGATGACGCCAATAAAGTGATGCTAAAATATTAATGGTGTCAGCATCATAAACTCAATAAAATTAATAACTACCAAGCTAAATACAATGGTGTCAATCGTGAGATTTGAAATCCTGATTTTATTTAATATTAGACAGTTTATTGAAGTAAAAAATATTAATGATAGATCTACCAATAATGGTTTCATTAACGAAAATAATTTAAAATTTAAAAGTGTTAAATAAATTAATAAAATCGACTCTTTATAATTAAAGATATTTATAGGTTATTGTATATATTGGATTTTAAAAATAATTAAACAGTGTAATGTTTATTTGTTTAACGTTACTTATCTAGAAACTTCGTAAATCTTCTACTGTACCTAGGCTTTATGAAAATTTAAATATTAATAGAAAATTATAATTTATTGCACAGTTTTAATTTATACTTAGATGAAACCACCAAATAAATCTTAAATGATACCCTATCACAGTAAGAAACAACGTTGATAAAATTATATTTTTTAAGTAAAACACTAATAATATCATATATCGCTTTATTTATTTTTTGAATAATATCGCGTAAATTTAATTTAACTACTGTTTGTTTTATGAAATTATGTTGGTTCGGAGGTATAATCTCCATTAACTAACATTAAGCATCAAATACTATTGAACAAAAAACTGTTTTCAGCTTAATGATAAAAACTCATTAAAAACTTAACAATTATCTTATAAATTATAATTTATATACCATATTGTTATTACTATATATATATTATATACAATAAAAAGTTATGTTTATGTTTGTATAAAATATGGTTTAATGAAAATCAAAAGTTAACATTTTTATCAGAAACTTTTCTAAAATTTTAACTAAATCTGATAAATTTCAAATTTATAATATTCTAAATAATATCAAATTCCAAGCACTAAAATGCATATATTATTATATTTATCGATAAAAAAATCAACACCACTTAGTATTATCGTTTTTTAAGCAACATACTATAATTATTTTAAAATATATACCACAAGGCTAAATCGAGTGATTTTGTAATACAGTTACAATTGGTAGGTACTATAACACAAAATTGAATTATAAAGATTTTAACAATTTTATTATTATTAGTCACAGAGAAGATAATAGAAAATAATATAATGATTTTATGATAAATTTTTCTCATCTCAAACTAAACAGATTAAAATACTCTCAAAGTTTATACTCAAAGTTTTATAAACGCCATAGTATTGAGTTATGTACCACGACATAACATAATTATGTTATGGTACTATGGTAGAAGTTGTTTACTAAGGTTCTAGAATATATTTTTTAGATCACTCAATGTGTTTATATACATAAATGTCTTACTAGCCTAATTTTATATAAAGGTTAAAAATTTGTTTTTATTTTCATATTATTATTTTAAAGTATGATAAGATGAAAACGAATATTAAACAATTTAAAATTAGTAGCATTATTATTAAAATCAGACCAGTTTTAAATTACAGTGATTATTGATTTTTTTATCAACAGCATTATTTAATATGATCAATTATTAGCTTTATTATTCCTGGATATTATTAAAAACTGTGTAGAATAATTTTTTTTATATACACATAGATTATTTTACAAGACTATTAAATATTGCACAATTTCAAAACTCAACTTGCGAAGTAGGTTGACATAAATTTTTATAAGAACTTTATTTAAATCGATACACGCCGTTAAATTACAAATTATCACTAAAAAGTAAAACTGACCATTTTAAATTAGATTAAAAAATGTATTAAAACCTTAGAAGTAACAAAAAATAATTATAAACCTACCTAGTTACTATAATATAAAATATAGATAATATGTCTTTACGATATAATATAGTATAGTATTACACTATATAATATTATTAATTTTATTATCTATATAATTTTACTTATTCATTATTTAGGTTTATTCTATACTTTTGTATCAGGAAAAAAATATTTTACATAATTTGAGTAAAAGTTAAAATGCTTTTTTTTTAAATCTTATATAATTGTAACACTGAATGATGCTTATAAAATAATCGCAAAAATATATCACAATATAATATATTAACTTGTTCTTAAATTGTAGCATTTTGTTCTATAATTAATTATACGATTTCGTTTGTAAGCATATTTTTTAACATATAAATTATAATATTTCATGTACTATTACCTATAATGTATTTGTATAATGTGCCTATAATTCATTTTTTTTTTTATTATTATTATTTATAAATAATCAAAATATAAAACTATTATCTTTAGACGCACTGTTATTGGATAAAATTTACCTAAATTTGTATCTTTAATTTTCAATAATATCTCTTGTACCAAACCTGAAACCAACTAGGATTTATATACTATAATCTCAAAATAATCATAGTTGTTTTTATGTAGGAGTTTGTGTTTAACAACATTATGTCGAACATGGTTAACCAAAATTCAAAGCTAGCCTAATATTGAACATCTTAATCAGTACAGTTAATTTCAATATCATACTTCATCAATTTTAAAATTAAAATTATTTTATTCAAGAAAAATTCGAAACATCTGTTTTTAAACAAAATATTATATTGAGATTATATTTTTGCAAAACAAATTTTAAAATAGTAAGTATTTTTTACAGTCTAAAAGTATACAAATATAAAATGGAGTATCATTAAAGGGGTACAGGTAATATCTAATACAAATATTAGATTAACTAGTTATAAGAACTTTATGAAAAAATTCCCAAATTTTGATATTTTTTACTTCAAAACAAACTGAGTGTCTTACATTTTGCTCATTTATATGATATCCAAATTATGTACATAATATTATGTAGACTGCACTTATTGTATTTTTATAAGAAATAAACATTATATGACGTTTATAATATTATATAGCAATATTAGCTTTAAAAATCTAAAAATGTTTTATAGTAAATAAATATGCTTCTTAATATTAAAGTGTGTACACGAGTTTTTTTAATAATAAGTTCATTGCCGCTATAGTTAAAATACAAATAATAAATGATTTATTTGTACTTAAAATATATAATAATTCTTGTAACATATAATGATATTAGTACATTTTCTCTCTTAAAATCAAAATAATAAAACAATTACACGACTTAGTCTTTTTATACAAATAACTAATACACATATATAATTTGTTGTGTCAAATAATTTTCAATTAAAAAAAATATAACAATTATAATTATTATATAATATCTTTGAAATTTAAATTTTAACCACAGCATTATTATAATCTTTATACATTTACGATTAACAACCGAAATAATAAAAATACAACGATAAAGCTCGAAAAACATGATAAGAATACTAGCAGGCCGCAGTGAAATCATTATATTATCTACTGTTGTTAATATGAATACCAAATGATTATGATTTGTACATACATATATATTATTATACATTTTTACTGTCTAAAAGATATAAAACCAAAGGGAGGAGTAAAAAGCTAAAGTGTACAGCGTGGGTACAGGGATTGAAAATAAAAACACTGTTGGCGTAGAAAAGATGTGATGTCATTGGTCCTGACGTCACGGAGGGGAGGTAGATTTCGATATAAAGGGAGAATATCACCCCTCGAGTCTGTCTGACGAGAACTAACTGGCCACTTTGAAAAGTTGTTGTTAACCGACGACTCTATCCTAAACACATACCACAGCAACACGGTAGTTTTACACGCATCAGTTCTGAGAATATACACAGGTAAAACACTTATATTATTATAGTAGGCGCATATATTATATTTTATTTTTTAAATTGACATTAATATTAAATGTTTATTTATATTTATTCAATTTAAATAATTTATCAATATTCTAGATAAAATATTATTAATTTAATTGAAGGAAAATAAAAAAAAAAATCTTTGTACCCAGTTTTAAAGATTTATCATATTTTTTTTTTTTTACTACGATTAAAATAATAGTTTTAAAATTTCTAAAGATAAAACAATTTATGTTTAAAAAACGTATACATTATATTATATATATATTTTTTATTCAAAGCTCAAAAATATTTTTAAATATTATAAATGCTTAATTGAGTAGAATTTCAAAATTTAAATAGGTAGTTAAAAAAACGATATTTGATTTTTAAATAAATAAATTAGTCATTGTAATAATATGACAAAATTAAAATACTTGTATTTAATTTAATGTATATTAAGTAATAATAATAATATAATGTTACGTACTTTTTTTAATGAAAAAAATATATTTAAAACAAGATAGGTATATTATTCCTTTTTCCTTAGATAATGTTTGTTTTAAATCTTACGGTACACGTATCGTGTAGATAATACTTGTATTATAGATATTTTAAGTGTAAATTTTAGCTATAATGTAGTTCTTTGAGAAGATTCAGCTTATAAACTTTTATTTCATTCTATTATATTATGTACCTAGTTATACAAAACAAATCGTACTTTCAACAAAATTTAAAATCTCTACCTATTTTTATCTAGCAACTTTGTCCTTATACTTGTATAATTTATATATTGCGCATCGTAGAAGTACCATTAAAACTTTCTCTAGCGGCTTAAAATAAATTTAAGCAAAATAACTTTTAAGATTTTAAGTGATAATACGCACTTAAGTCACCCAATCCAGCCTCAAATAATAGAAATATTGTGTTAATCGTTATGTCCACTCATTAAAAATATAGTGTAAGTAAATGAAATTAATTATTAATACAATTAATGATTTTTATTCTACTCTTTTTCTAAAGTGTTTTTATTTCCGTAAAATGTACATAGCATATTCAACGAGTTTTACGAATGTAAAAAAAATATACTTCGGTTTCCATAAAATATGTTTATTTTTATTTGTTTGAACATTTTTTTTTCGAACAAGCACGTCACGCTTGCATGTACACAAATAAGCATTTGTTTGATAATTTTAATAGGTCATAGGTATATGATTTATAAAATTGTTTATCGAACGGTTCAACACCACGTCCGAACGTTCGGGAATGGTCCACGACCCGTTTCCTCCATGTGCAATATGTAATCCCTCTACCAATCCGAATTTTATTAATAAGTTCGTTTTTTGACGCATAGCATCTTTAATAACCTAAAGAGTGGTGACAGCATTAAAATGATATAAAGAAGTTTTTTAATTACAAAATAATCTGATTTTCTAAATCCCCATCAGAATATATGTAGTAGTACAGCATGGTTTACAAATAAAACTAACTCTCATTTTATCCATTATAACAATTAATTAATTCTAATTTTGATTTTTTTTTTTTTTTTTTTTGTCGTTTTCAAATATTAAATTTTTTTCTAATGAGAACACAATTTTCACTAAAATTTGACAAGCAAATCATTTTTTTTGAAAAAGATTATACATCTAAATCAAAATTTGAACGAGGAATTCCAAGTGCTAAAATATATGTACCTACCAAAGATAAAAAAATATCCATGATAGGGTTTAAAACAGTTGGTGGCTTATGACGATAGAGTATATATTTGAAAATTCCAAAAATGAAAATTTGAATAGATGCTTAATTTAATGATGAAATGTGAGTGTGTGTACTTGGTGAATCATCTTATATCGGACGAATAACGGCTCAACTAGCATAAACACAGTTATATTTAATCAAGACTCATACTTTGTATTCCTTCAGTTTAAGCTCAGTGCTTTGTTACATAAATAATATTATTATTGTAATAATTATCATAAATCCCGCATTTGTTTCTTCTTCGGCTGTGTACGGCCAATTATAATAATATCCCAGGCTAATACCACCGTATATGCGAAACACGGTTCGAGATTTGAGAGCTGATAATGGCCGTCGTCGTGTTGTTATGGCAAGTAGTTTTATCTTTTAAATGTAGACAAATTATATACCTATATAAAATACGTATATGAGTGACTGAGTTTTGAATACCACTGAGATATATACACGAACACATCCCATACTAAAACTATGTTAATAAGCGACGCGTGTACCCATTGTAATAATACATAATATTATATACTTTTTAAAAACTAAAAAACTAAAAGATACACTGATGAATTAAAATAGTATATTTGCAAAAATATTTATTAAATAAATATATATATTTATTTACAAATAGTATATTTATATAATTGTATTGTCTGTGTCATATTAAATATTACTTTAATTGAAATAGGTAGCAGGAGAAAAATAATAATTTAATTGATATGTAGTTATATTAATCACTCGAGTACTCAACCTTTTTAGAGATCTTTTAACTTATCGCCTCTCTTTTTTATGAGTATAGAGTTCTGATAGAATGTGTATAAGGGAAGTATAATAATTGGCATACAAGTTTCTATTTTTCATGAAATATTGATGTAAGATCTAATCTGACCAATTCAAGGTTTGTCTAAAAATACCCAATGTTAAACTTTATTTTAATTTTTAGTATTATTATTTTTTCAATTTTACAATAAACTGATCAAAAAAAAATTTTATTTATAAAAAATGAATTTTAAATAAATTCTTATGAAGTTAATTTGATGTGTATACTTGTTTGTGTGAGTTTATCGATGTTCAACGATAAGTTTATATAAACATATAACGTAAGTAAATAATATATTAGTAGTATTATAACTTAATACAGATTTTAATAGGTACATATAAGAAGCCTGATTTTATAAATTATTCCTATTATATATTATTAGTAAATGTGGTAAGATTAAATGTTTCCAATAGTCATTTTAAAGATTTAACCGAATCGCCTAAAACGGCTAATGATATTTTGTTATAAGTAGGACTCGGATGTTTACGCATTTAATACTACTTTAATATGTATACATTTATGGACTAAAAAATTACGAAATATATAATCAAAATATGCACTAAAAATTATAAAATATCCATTTTTAACCTATAAAATTACCAAAATATGCACAAACATTATTATTATAATTCATAAACATACGTAAATATTTCATTTTTATTACTTAGTAGTTACTTTTATTTATTATTTCTTTTAATACAATTTTAAATACATTTTTTAAATTTACATAGCGTTTTATTAACTTTAATTTACATTATTATTTATTAATTAGGTATTACCATTATTAAGGTTATACACTTATACTGTGCTACTATGGTTTTTTAATTTGTTCAAATTTGTAACTGCATCTATTATCATTAAGTATATTTTTGTAATGTGAAAAGCTTCATTCTACATCAACTTATGTTATCTTAGACCTTGTCCAATAAAGTACCGTAATTCCGAACAAACACGATAAGTTGATAATAAACATTTATATTTTACGTAAATTCTTGGTAGATTGTAGACTGTAGTTACCACCTATAAAATTTATACATACAAATTGTGGAATTAATTGTATAGTTCGTTAATTAAATTGTTTTTTAAAAAAATGTTCTAAAATATGCATTTTTATTTTTAAAATCTCAAAATATGCAATTAAATTACTAAACCATAAAATATGCAAAAATATGAAAAATAAAAATAGTATTATTTAATTCAGTATAATATGAATTAAATTTATATCTAGGTTAGCATTAAATTAGGTAAATAGAAAAAAATATGCTATTTCATAAACACCCGAGCCCTAAATATAAGTTATAATCTACATAATTATAATATAGTGAGATGTGTATCATAAGTATTTTTAGTATTTATTCACAACGCAATACGCATACCACAAAATAGGCTTTGAATTAAGGGCACGAAAATAATGAAGTGAATCAAAATTCCCATTTAATTTGTTTTATTTTGCATCATTTCTTTAGAAAATAAATCCTATTGTAGCCTGATAGATAGACCATTAACCAATATTTATTTTTATTATCATTCATTATTTGAAATATTTTACTTAATGAAACTTGTAAATATTTAATATTTATATTAGTTGTTAAAGGAATCATTTTCATATAAATAAAAACGGCACTTATAAGTGGCTAAATTTTATTTTAATTTTTTTTTAATATTTTACTAATTCTATAATACTAACGAAAAACAAAGAAAATATATATACTTTTATATCTTATATAATATTCATTAAAAATAGCTAAAAATAGAATAAAAATAAATAATCCCCTAAACTGTAAAAATGTATTTATTTTTTTTTTAAAAATACTGCAATAAAACTCCATCTATCAGTAAATTCATTCACCTAGATTGTAACAACCAATATTTTGTGCTGTATTTATACGACTCAAGTGCACAAGACAAGTCAAAACCAAGAAAAATGCACTAAATCATAGACTGTATAGTGTATAAACATAAATTATTTTAACATAGATAAATACTTTGCACAATTTTGGGTACTTAAAAAATCTTTAGCATAAAAAAGTAATACTTTCAAAACCAATAACTGATGACCAATAAAATATCAATAATCTAACCATCTACAAAGATTTGATTATACATATTTATAAAAACGAAAGAGAATAATATTTTGAAAAAGTCATCCATTTTGAATAATTTAAAAAAGATATATATTATTTTACAATCTCCAGAATACTATCGCTCAAGCATCAACTCTGTCAATATTAATCTATTTTTGTTTTATTTATATTTATTGTACTATTAATAAATTGTTGAACTTTTCAAATAAAAATTTAAAAACAAAATATAATTTTTTCTTTATTTAAAAAGTTAAACATAATTTTTCTTTTATTCAATTTTTTAAAATTAAAAGATTTGTTGATATGTTTGTTTTCTTTAAATAATTTAATAATTTATGTTTTTATCTCAA